CCCCAAAACCCCAAAACCCCAAAACCCCAAAACCCCAGAGAGTTTATTATAATTAATAAAGATGCCGAGTGCCCGAGAGCTCATGATGCAGAAAATTGCTGAAAAGAAAGCTGAGCTTAGAAGAAAGCAGCTAGAGCAATTGGCTAATCCTACAGATATCGCTAAAGTAAGTCATCACATCCCTTAGCTTGTGGTAACTTTGTGTAGGGAGAAAACTCGACTGACTTCGGAACAAGCAGGGAACCCAAGAAAATCGCAGGCCTCGACCTTTCTAAGTATGAAGACCTTGGTAATAACCTTAATTCCTTACCCATAGGCACTGAGGAGAAGAAAATACCTGATCTGAGCCAGAATGATGGCAAATCCATGATTTTTGACTTCAACCCTGAAGAAGGTATGTCCAGATCCTCTCTAGCCATTAATCCTTGTATAGAAGAGAGATTGACTCAAGACGAAATCACTGAGTTAGAGACAGCTTTAGCTGAGAAGACCAAAATCGCTGAAGAGAAATTCAAAATAGTTCCTCTAGACAAGGTAGGGTTTCCCTGCTCAACTTTAGATTGACGAAAACACCCAGAAGGATTTGTTTGATGGGCTCAACCAAAGGTGTGATTATTTTGACAGTAAAATCTCCAAAGCAACAAGGAAATGTATTGATAAAAATCTTGAGAGTAAATTCAAAGACCTGGTCAATGAAATATCTGCTATTGAGTACAAGTCAAAGTACTCTATTTGGCCAGAACTTGAGCAATGCCAAGTAAATAGGCATATCCAGAATGAACCTGAAGTTTCCAACCCAGGCTTTATTAAGAAGACAATTGATTTTTATAAAATTGATGAGATTGGAAGCAATTTTGATAAAAAGATATTCGATCCTCATTCAGTTGCTCAAAGCGAGGAAGATTACTTCGAAAATTTGAACAAATTAGGTAAGATTTAGAGTCTTAGAGTTTTAGAAAAACAAGCTCAATTTGTCCCAAAGATAGAGAAACCAGCAAGTTTGAACCCAGGCTTGTTACCCTTAAATCCATATGGAGGGACTAATAACCAATCTATTCCTGTATTCAATTCTGCACAGGCCCTAACAGGCAACAACACTTACGACGATCCTAAATTCCAAAGCTTTATTGCTCAAAGAGAGAAGGAGGCCAAAATGGCCAATAGTTTAAAGGAAGAATTCTAAAATTCAAGTAATTTTTAAACATCGTTCATTCCACCACTAGGCAGCGTTGTGGGGTTTTGGGGTTTTGGGGTTTTGGGGTTTTGGGG